TACTTTGGAGATGGGGTCTTGACAACGTTTTGCCCAGGCTGGCCTTGAACCTCGAGCCTCCCCGAGCGCAGCCTCCCAGGTAGCTGGGATTACAGGGGTGAGCCACGGTGCCCGGCTCTGAGGTTTTAGTGGGGTGGACGCATGTTTCTGGGCTCTGGTTTGGGGACCCACACGGCCAGGGTCATTGCAAAGCAGGGGCTTCCCCGGCGGCCTCAGGACAGGAAGGGCACCAGGCACTTTTGGGGATCCCGGGAGCCCCTGGCTCACCGCTTCCTTGTCACAAGTTTGCAGCGGTTCCATGGCCTCCTCTGGCCTCTGTCCCTGGACTCTGCCTTTGGTCTGCGTGGTCACTGATGGGGTGAAGAGTGGGGCGGGGACGGTGGGGTGGGGAAAGATGGGGCACAGGGTATCGCTTTTTCTCCTTTTCGAGTACATTTTGTTTCCTGATCACAAAAGTGACCAAAACAAAGCAACGCTGAGAACAACAAAATCCCACCTGGCAGCAGCTCGAATGCATTCGTCACACGATCGGTGGGCCGGGCACCGTGGCTCACGCCCATCACCCAGCTACTCACGGGCAGAGATTGGGAGGATCGGGGTTCAAAGCCAGCCTGGGCAAAACAGTTTGTGAGACCCGATCTCAAAAAACAACCGTCACCAAAAAATGGCTGGTGGAGTGGCTCAAGGTGAAGGCCCTGAGTTCAAATCCCAGTACCAGAAAAACCCCAAAGCCTGCGTAGGAGTTCGGTTTGGGCCTCTTTATTTTTTATTTTTAATCATTTAAAAAAAAAGTTATATTTTTTTCTGTAATTTTTGACTATTTTTCAGTAGTAGGAAAAGGGTTTGGTTGTGATGACCCCACTCGTGCGTCTGTGCTGTGTCTATGGGGGGAAGGGAGACCCAGTGGCCCCGGTGGGACCCTGACCACCCCGTCCTCCACCCCAGATCGCTGACTTGACCACGGAGCTGGCTGACGAGCGGTTCAAAGGTGACGTGGCCTGCGAGGCCCTGGAAGGGGAGCGGGCGCAGCGGCTGCAGGCCCTCCGGGAGCTGCAGGAGCTCAAGGTGAGGTCCGGTGCCGCTGGCCACCTTGGGGCCCGGAGCCAGACGTGCACTGACCGGCTTCCCGCTCAGGGTCCCGGGCGGCGCCGGCCTGGTTGGTGTGGAGTGGACAGCCCTGGGCTGTGGGGACACGATGGGGGAGGTCGTGGAGGAGCTGACCCTGGGCCTGGGGTCTCTGGGTCAGGAATGCATGGCAGGTGGTCACTCCCTGGCCTTGGAGGTGTCGTGGAGCGGGGAGATGGCCGGCTCTGATGAGATGCCAGGGATGGGCTTCTTTACAAAGCAGAGAGGTTGGTGCAGCCCGCGGTTGGGAGACTGGACCTCAGGGTGGCTTTTACTGCAGTCACCTTACTGGTGACCAGGTGACAGCACTGGGCAGGGGTCCAGTCTTGCTCCTTTTATGATCTCCCTACAAGCACTCACTCGGGTCCCCAAACGACCCCGATCCCTGGACAGTTCCCCAGCCAAGGGACCCATGGCGGCCTTTCTTCCAGAGCAAGTGTGAGCAGGTGCAGGGGACGCTGGCCGCCGTGGAGACGCAGCTGGGAGACGCCCGGCAGAAGATCCAGGCCAGCGAGGCGGAGAGGAGGCAGATGGCGGGAGGTGAGTGGCCGGGCCGGGGCAGGGCAGGACGCTGAGGACAGTGTCACCTCTGTCACAGCGGGTGGGACGGGGGCAGAGCCTCGGCAGGCAGGGGACCCCGACCTTACCACAAATAAGTTACTACCCCACGACAGAGCTGTCTGTGAAAGTCACCCCTGTGCGCGGGACACTTTTACATTCACACGCGTATCTCAGACATAAATTTCCACGAGGTCAGGTCAGCAGTAGAACCTACAAAGTTGCATTTCCGGATTTGAATCTTCACCCCATCTTCTTTTTTTTTTTTTGGTGGCACTGGGATTTGAACTCAGGACCTCACCCTTGCTGGGCAGGCACTCTGCCACATGAGCCACCCCACCAGCATTTTCTGTTTTCTTTTTTTACAAGATAGGGTCTTGAAACTATTTGCCCAGCCTGGCCTCGAACCACGATCCTCCTGATCTCTGCCTCCTGAGTAGCTGGGATTACAGGCGTCAGCCCCAGTGCCTGGCATGGCTCTGTCTCTTGTTGGATGGGGGCTTTGGCTGGGCCTCACTCTGCCTCAGTTTCTCATCTTTCAAGCAGAGATTGTCATCCGTGATGAGCAGGAAGTGCTTGGCCTGAGTGCTAGATGACCGTTAGAAAACAGGGTCACTTCCCGTTCTCATAGCAGCCTGGGAGGGGCAGTGACTGTCCCCCACTTAGAGACAAGGCCGCACCTGGCCATCAGCAGTTATGGCGCAGCGGGAAGCTGAGATGACTCCTTCCCCGGTGGGTCACTGTGGAGGCCTTTACAGCTGGGGACAGTACAGGGACATCTCATCACACCTTCATAAGAAGCGTGCTGACCTCTTCGTCCCCCTGCCTGTGCCTCCCTCTTCAGAGGGGACCACCATGGGGTCAGCTTCCAGCCAGTGCTGGCGTTGTCCCGGGGGACAGCTCGGGTGACAGTGCTGACCAGGCCCCCGGCCCCCGGTGCTCATGTAGGAAAGCAGGCCACAAACTGGATTTTGTGCTGAGATTACCGTGTGCTCGATCAGAAAACGTGCAGGAAGCAGAAAGAACCGCACCTGCCTCTCTGCATCCAGCTGGGTGTTAATCATAAACCCGGTTTCTCCGCGTGGATAAATATTTAAAGGGTCACCCATGATGTCCGCACGAGCTGGACGCTGCGGGGGTTGTGGAGCAATTGGCACTGACTCTGCTCCCAGAAACTTGCCAAGTGAATGTGGGGACAGATTAGCCAGGGAAAGGTGACAGACGTGTGCTGTGGAAGGTGATAGGATGGCGCCAGGGCAGACGAGCCTCCAAGGACACCAGTGTCCCCACCTGCCATAGGCCTCTCACTGCAAAGGGCAGCAGAGCATAGAGCTCACGTCACCTGCACACAGCTTCCCGCTGCATCCCCTCCATTCCCAGCCACACGGCCCTCACCACGAGGGTTCCTAAAGGGAAGAAGCTTTAGCGTGCAGATATTTATCCTCCTTCAAAATGGTGACCTCGGGATCTTTGTTGGGGTTTTCTCTTCTCAACCTTGATCCTAACATCCACCCCCCCCCCCCCCCCCCCCCCCCCCCCCCCCCCCCCCCCCCCCCCCCCCCCCCCCCCCCCCCCCCCCCCCCCCCCCCCCCCCCCCCC